CTGAGTTCATCCTTTAAGCTCTATGATATTTATAACTGGTTAGTGCTTTTAGAAGTAAAGGTCCTAATTTTTTAATAGTGACCTTACCATAAATGTTTCATAGCACATCAAGAGGTGGCTTCATCTTGTAAGTGATAGGCTTATTAAGCTAAAATGTTATATTCTGTTTGCAAGCTTTTGCATTTAAGAGTGTGTGGTGTCTTTATGTTGATTGTATGCATTCTTAAAGAGCAAAAGATTTTGTGTCCATGGTGATTACACCTGGATATTGAGATTTTCCTAATTCTACTCTAGAACTTGTCAGTGTGGTATACACTAAAGACCAAAAGGGTAATGGTACAGTTGGACACGACTGAAGTGACTTAGCATGCATACACTACTCTAGCTTCAAAGACAGCTTTTCAGTTCAGTGTTAGAGGGATAGCTTTCCATAAGGGGTTCAGGGACAATAGCCTACCCATTTCGTGAGAAATATTAGTGCCCTATCTCATAAAATATACAAAAATATGTTTTGAATGTATTCAGGTTCTGAATATGAAAAACCAAAACTAAAAAATTATTAGAAATAAATGAAAATAGTAATCTTATAATTATGCTTTCCAGGTGGCACAGTAGTAAAAGAATCCTGCCTGCCAGTGCAAGAGATGCAGGTTTAATCCCTGGCTCAGGAAGATACCTGGAGTAGGAAATGGCAACCCACTCCAGTATTCTTGCCTGGAAAATTCCACGGATAGAGGAGCCTGGTGGGCTACAGTCCATGGGGTCATAAAGAGGCAGATACAACTGAACAGGAGCACAAGGGCATGAGGAATCTTATAATGTAAGATGTAAAGCAAATGAGCCTTTTGTTGCTGTTGTTGCAAAAGAGCCTTAAAAGATTGAGAGATTCACTTGTACAAAAACTTCCATATGTTAAAAGATACCATAAATAAAATTAAAAGACCAGAGTAGGCTGGAAGAAAGAAATAGAACAAATAAATAATTTCTACAAATCTGTGAGAAGACAATAAAGTAGATAAGAAAGTGGACAAAGGATATATGATCAGGCAGTTCCCCAAAGAAGTACAAATCGGCTGATAAACATGTGATAATCAGGGAAATGCAAACTGGTTTGATACCCATCACATTGGGACAAACTAAAAAGGTTGAAGAGGGCCTGAAGAAATAGGCACTTCTATACACTATTGCTGGGTGTATACATTGTTTCAGTCTTCTTGAAAAGCAATATAGCTCAGTTATAACCCTGTTGCATCTGTGACAACTTTAAGTGTATATTCCTTTGACCTCAGACCCAAAGAAATCTTTAGTTATTGACTAGAGAGAAAGAATAGTTAACTCTTTACTCCCAGCCCTAGGACTTCTTGATGGGATGTTTAATATTTATCAAATGTTGATCAGATGCTCTTAACTCAGCAGTTTTATTTGCATAGATAATGGCATTATTTACAGAAGCCACCAATTGAACTAGACCAGTGCTCTTGATAGAAATATTATGTAAGCCACAAAATTTTAAATTTTCTAGTAGCCTTATGAAAAAAGTAAAAAACAGGTGACATTAATCTTAATTTTTATTTGATCAGGAGATCAAAAATATCACTTCAACCTATATTCAGATATAAAAATTAGTAACTTTACATTCATTTTTGGATACTAAGTCTGTTAAATCCAGGGAGCATTTTACAATTAAAGCTTAACTCAGTTTGGACCAGCCTCATTTCAGATGCTTGGTAGTCGTATGTGGCTAGCGGCCACTGTGTTGGACAGCACAGGGATAACTGTAAGCCCCAGAGGACAGAAAGGAATGATCTTATCATTGTATCCTTAGCACCTAGTACAGTACCTGCCATATAGCAGGCGCCCAGTAATATTTTTGGCTCAACGAATAAATGGATAAATATAAAGTCATCTTTTCATTGACTTCTCAACCTTTAATCATATGTTATATTTGTCTCAAAAATAGTTGGCAGTAAACATAAAATGGAATGACTTCTCTGCTGTGCAGTCGTTTAGAGAAAATCCTGGAATATACTATATGTCTTTTCATATCTGCTCAAAAGCAGTTTCAAAAATTTCTGTTGGTTCCAGGTAATAAAGCAAATGACACTATAGAGAATCTTAGAGTTCCTGTTTGTTGACCATAGCAACTGTTGAGTTTTTTTTTCATTAAATTTGTCTTGCTAATTCTTAGAAGCATTTATGTTTTAAGAAGACCATTGCATAATCCAATTCCTGTCCCCAAAATTGTATCTCATTCTAAGTACAGTATCAAAGTCCAGTGAGAGCTGTACACTGTTTTGATCATTCCCGTTACTGTTAACTTTGACCTGAAGTTAATATCAATGAAACTTCTAGTGTCTGTTGTACATTTCTGCTTTAGATGTTGTGGTGATACAGAAATAATTGCTATATGTGATTTTTGCCCTTTATTTGGAGAAGAAAAATATTAATGAAATGAATAGAGAAAAATTAAAATTTGTAAATTTGTTCAGTAGTTCCTGTGTTCCTTAGGCCTGGTAATAGAAAGGTAAATACAAATGCATTCTGTTTCCTTCAAATAGTTTATTGCCTCCTAGGAAGATGCATATATTAACCAATAAACATAGTTTAACAAAACAGCAAGTATAATAAATCTGTGAAGTACAAAAATATTATTCCTTCATACAAAGCAAGCTGAGACTCAGTGAGGGTCAGTGACTTGTTCAAGGAAGCAGTTAGAACCTGGATTCAAATCTAGATATTTATTGAAGTTATTGCTTTTCCTTCCACACCACATTTTCTGCTTCAAGATTTTTAGAAATAGAAATTTAGCTCTTCACTTGAGATAAATCATAGCTCATGAGTAAACTCCAAACTGATTATAGTTTGTGTAATATTATATTTATTATGTACTTATCTAGTTATCGTGTAGTCATCTTATTAATTGTCCACGTCTATCCTAATATTTGAGTGGTGTGGCAGTAAGGGCCGCGAGTTTTCTTTTTTTGGCCGTGCCACACAGCTTGCAGGATCTCAGTTTCCTGACCAGGGATTGAAGCTGGGCCGTGGCAGTGAAAGCCCAGGATCTTAACCACTAGGCCACCAGGGAACTCCCAGGGTCATAGAGTTTTTGTTTTTGCCATAGAGTTTTATTGATGAGACAGCTATATGGACTGAGCTCTGAGGTCTTGCCACACCAGACATTGAAGATTGCTGCTGCTAAGTCGCTTCAGTCGTGTCCGACTCTGTGCGACCCCACAGACGGTAGCCTACCAGGCTCCTCCATCCCTGGGATTCTCCAGGCAAGAACACTGGAGTGGGTTGCCATTTCCTTCTCCAATGCATGAAAGTGAAAAGTGAAAGCGAAGTCGCTCAGTCTTGTCTGACTCTTAGCGACCCCATGGACTGCAACCTACCAGGCTCCTCCGTCCATGGGAGTTTCCGGGCAAGAGTACTGGAGTGGGTGCCGTTGCCTTCTCTGCATTGAAGGCTAGGTAGACCAGGTCAAGGGCTAAGGGAAGGACTCGGCTTTCCAAGCAGAGAGACAGACTTAAACAGGCAGGAGTGTAGGAGCAGGGAAGGCTCTGAATTGCTGTTTGAGAACTTCTCAGGACCTACAGGTTGGACTTGAGTGATTCGATGGCCATCGTTTATTCATTTGGCTTTTAGTTTTTCTAGGTCTGTGCAGTTTCATTTCAGTTCTTGTTTCAAAGCATACCGTAGGAAGTAGGATTTTTATTTAAAAAAAATATAGGTGAGGCCTGTAATGTTTATATAACAGTGTTTATTAGGTGTCCAGCATTGTCATAAATACTAATGTTATACTAGTATCCATTCATAATATATGAAAGTAGATATGTCTTTAGGATAACAGACAACCTAGTACCTTACTCCATCCAGTGTATATTTAATCATCTTTGGTTTTATAGCTATGTAAGGATTTGTGTAGACTGGTACAAAAATTGTAAGGATAGTAGAAATAATATAAATTTGGGGGTTTTTTACTCTAAAATAATCGAAGTAACTTCTAGTGAACTATTTGACAATTTAAACTTCAGAGAGCTTGCAGATACAGATGGTAGAAACAGCTTTTTTTTTTAATTGTGTTGTTTGTGGGATCTTAGTTTCCCAATTAGGGATGAAACCTGGGGCCCCAGCAGTGAAAGTACTGAATCCTAACCACTGGACCACCAGGGAATTCCCTGAAATAGCTTTTCTTAATAAAGTTCTTAACAGGATGAAAGATGCTCTTTAAGATAAGTATAGGGACATTCTTTGCCTGGAGTGGTGTTTAAATTCTAAACTTCGCTATAACTCTTTGAAAGCCAGTTTTCTTTTTAAGTGTATAATTATATATTGTAGAAAAATCACAGATTTTATGTATGTGTATTTTTATTTATACATGACTCATTCACATTTGTGATTATATTTATGTAGTTCTCTAATACTTTCAGTTTAATTTAGTTGGCCTGTGTTTTTCCTCCTCTAAGAAAATAGAAAATTCGTCCTTTTAGCTTTTGGATTTTTAAACCCTTCCTCCTCCTTTTCTTGAAAATTCCGTCACCAGCCATTTTCTCAAGTTTATGATGCTGTTTTTCCTCCCTTGGGAAAAATCCTTTTACAGTTATCCAAATTTGAAAATAGTTCTATGAAATAGAAATGGAGACTAGCTCCTTAAAATCCTAAGTAGTATGTGTGAACATATAAAATAACCTAGTTAAAAAAAAGTGCATCCACATCATAAATTTTCACTGATTACCTTTTAAAGATAAAATACTTGTTACCAAATTTTGTGTGTACTTTTAATCTGCTGGGACACCTGTGAAAAACTGTCCTCTTCTCTCCTAGGCCACAGACCTCCACCAGCACGAAGTGGACATCGTTGTGTGGCAGATAATACCAATCTGTATGTGTTTGGAGGTTATAACCCAGATTATGATGAATCAGGAGGGCCAGATAATGAAGACTATCCTCTCTTCAGGGAGCTTTGGAGGTATCATTTTGCTACAGGAGTATGGCACCAGATGGGCACAGATGGCTACATGCCCCGAGAATTGGCATCTATGTCACGTGAGTGCAAGCAGTTCTGAACTTTGGGCTATATGAAATATCTCAGAGGTCTGGTTCAATGTTAGGTGTTTTTCTTGTTAATGATTTTTAAGAATACCAAATCAAAATAGTAATATGATTAAGCCCTGCTAATGGGTAGACTCTCACTATGATAATACTATAGCATTGTATTCAGAATCAATTGTGAATTGGATCGTCCTGAGTTTGAATTTAGCTGTATGTCACGTACTTGCCTAATGATTTTTCGCTTCTAATTCCTTACCCATAAAATGGGATTAATATCTCAGAGGGTACAACATAAAGTATCATATATAAGCCTGGCAAAATGTAGTAGAAGATCAACAAATGGTATTTACAGCTGTTGAGCAAAGTGCTTCACACATGGTATCTGTTTAATCCTCACAGCATCTCTATGGTGCCAGCACTGGAATTCTTGCCATTGTACAGATGAGGAGACTGAGGCTTTAGAGAGGCCCTAAGGACAGTGGCTATGAGTGCAGGCTCTGGAGCTAGACTGCCTGGGATTGAACCCTAGCTTGACAAGGTTCTTTTTAGAAAACCTTCAACAAGTTATTTAAACCTTTCACCACTTTCTATTTCATCATCTATAAAAATGAAGAAGAGAATAATAGTTCCTACCTCATAGGGTTGTTGAAAAGATTAATTTAAAGAGATTAAATAACTTTCCTGAGGTCACATAAGACTTAAAACCCAGCTTTCACTGTCTCTAGAGCTCCTGCTGTTGACTCTAACACTATCAATTGAAGAATTGGTTAAAAAAAATCATTGAAGTGATACAGTAGCTGTATTTTCAGAATATTTGCCATAAGAGAAAGAATATACAAGTGTGTTTGATGACAGGAACAGAAAGTTGCCAGCAGGATATTCATGTTCTTTTTATCAGCTGTAGGATTAAGATGACAGAAACTATAATTTAACATGTAGCGATCATTCCCCTGGAAAAAACAGGAATGATCCTTTTATCCCTTCATCCTGAGTCCCACTGGGTCTTTGCTAAGGCAAAGATGAGCCTTCATTTTGTTCTGCTCTACTGTGTACTTGAACTGTGTTAAGCAGCAGTGGTGGATTGTAGTTCATATCATTCTGTATTGTTAATATACCGTGTTTCATGAATTCCAAAAATGTGCATTGAATACATGTCACGTATCAAAGAGTGAGCCATGTGATGTAGTGTGAATTAGATCTTTTTCTGTAGAACTTACAGTAGTTATATGTCAGTGGTTTGAGCTATTTTCTGAAAGCATTAAAGCAGACATTTTTTAGTTTCTCTGATATCCTGGGTTAATGTGGGAGTACCGTGCAAGTAGCCAGTACGAAAATGAAATGCATGCTGCTTCTTTTCCAGTTGTGCTGCATGGAAACAACCTGTTAGTGTTTGGAGGTACTGGCATCCCATTTGGTGAGAGCAATGGCAATGATGTCCACGTCTGCAACGTGAAATATAAGAGATGGGCTTTGCTCAGCTGTCGGGGGAAGAAACCCAGTCGTATATATGGACAGGTACCAATCTATGGCCAGTCATGGTGGATGAATTTGTTCAGATTCTTTAGTTCCAGGAACAACGTCAGAATATTTATATTACCACCAGTTTTTTAAACAGAAAATAAATCCATTGTTACTATTCGATTTTTCAGTTTCAGTGTGAAATTGTAAATCTGGTTGCTTGCCGCCTTCTTTCCGTTCTTTTCCTCCCTCTTTTTTTTTTTTTTCCCTACTCCAACTTTTAGGATCAATGATCTAGACCTATATGGAAGTTTCCTTAAATATCAGGACCTCACTTACCCTCAGTGAGAGATTGGGCTATATATATGGTCCAAGCCCTATCATCTTTAGAGTGATATGATGCTTTGAAGAGCTTTCTGACCTAAGTTTAGAGTAGATGATCCCTGCACTTGGTTAAGAGACTTTTATACAGATCTTGGCTAAAACACAGATTACACAGAAATTAGCTTCTAGTTGGTGGCTCAGAGGTTAAAGTGTCTGCCTGCAATGCGGGAGACCCAGGTTCGATCCCTGGGTCGGGAAGATCCCCTGGAGAAGGAAATGGCAACCCACTCCAGTATTCTTGCCTGGAGAATCCCATGGACGGAGGAGCCTGGTGGGCTACAGTCCATGGGGGTGGCAAAGAGTTGGACACGACTGAGCGACTTCACTTTCACTTTAGGTTCTAGTACTTCAGACTTTAGGTTTTGTACTTCAGACTTTAGGAAAGTACAAAGTACTTCAGACTTTAGGAAAGTTTTGTACAAAAAGGTAGGAAGCAACTCATCATACATCAGAGACCCTTTGAGAATAATGGGCTAAGCTTAAAACAGCCAAAGCAATAGCTTCTTTCTCAACTAGCTGGCATTGATACTGATACGTAGCTTCTGGACTGTGTGTATAAGCACAGACTAGAGGTTTAAACTCTAAGAAATGACTATAGCAAAAGCCAAACTTACATTGAGAAGAGTCTTGTGGAAAATGTCAAGTTTTGAGAACTTTCTTACTTAAGGGATTCTGGGGTCTTATTTTCATATCTGCTGCTGCTTCTTAAAGACATTTTTCTCTAGACTGCTTAGAAAGTGAAGCAGCTTTCAGTGGAAATGCTCATGTCCATGATCTGTAAATTCTTTGGTTGGCTAAGACCCCTAAGGAGCCCTTTGCCCATCTAGACAGAACTTGCTTTCCAGTTGAGAAAAACTTATTTTTCTAAAAACAATCTCTGTGTTCTCTAAAATCTTTAATCCTTTAAGAGTCTGATTTTTAGAAGGATAAAAAGTACAAGAAAACTTCATAAAACTTGATTTTGGGGTATCTAATAAGTTTACATTCTTTAACCACGTGTTAACGAGGCAGTGTTGTTCACATCTCCTCATTATCCAGGCTATGGCTATCATCAATGGCTCCCTTTATGTATTTGGAGGGACAACTGGCTATATTTACAGCACAGACCTGCACAAATTAGATCTCAATACCAGAGAGTGGACACAACTGAAACCAAACAACCTATCCTGTGATCTACCAGAAGAGAGGTGAGAGTCTAGGATTAAAGCATATTCTTTTTTGCTAAGATTTTACTTTTTTTTAGAATATTGGCAGTATGGTTTGAAGAAGCCCTTTGCCCTTGTTGAAATAGCTGACTGGCTATTAGATCCCTGTTCAGCATTAAAGAAGGGTTTTCTGGTGAGGAAATGGTATTTCCCCTCTGAACTATAGCATTTTTTTCACGTTACTTCCTTTTATGCTTCAGTTTTCCTGCATTAAGAAAGTACACTTGCCTGGAAAATCCCATGGATGGAGGAGCCTGGTAGGCTGTAGTCCATGGGGTCCCTGAGTTGGACACGACTGAGCGACTTCACTTTCACTTTTCACTTTCATGCACTGGAGAAGGAAATGGCAACCCACTCCAGTGTTCTTGCCTGGAGAATCCCAGGGACAGGGGAGCCTGGTGGGCTGCCGTCTATGGGGTCGCACAGAGTCGGACATGATGGCAGCAACTCAGCAGCAGCAGCCCTTTAGAAAAAAACAGTGAAAAAAGAAAAAAAAAAAGTGGTAACAGTTGTAACTAAATTTCATATTGCCGGCACAGCAGTTACTTTCTAGTTACTTTTTGAGTTCCCTTCTTAACTTGGTATTAGGATTCTTTGGCTCCCTTGCTTAACAACCTATCCCCAGGAAGGATACAGTGCCTTGCTTATGTGGTACTCAGTGAATGTTGATTGAATGGGTGGTTGGATGGATGGAAGAAAGGGAGGGAAGATTGTGTCTTTTAAGTGCTCTATTAAACACTCAGACATCACATGATTCTCTTTAGTTACCTTTTAGTAGCAGTCCTACATGAACTATCTCATTTTTCTTTCCTAACAGCAGTTGCCTCTTCTTAGAATTAAACCCACCAGAAAACTTAAAGAGGTGTCTTTTTACCCCCCTCTAGTTTAAAAGCAAAGACAGTAAACAGTTTTTAACTTACTGTTAGACTATTCTTTGTTGGCTTTTTAAAAATGGCATATGGGTGCTAAGGAAGATTTATCTCTATTGTAGTATCTTAGTGCTCTGATTATTGCAGAACTACCATAGGAGGACTTGGGAGATGGCTTGGTACAGGGAATAATTTTGATGTATAATATTTTTTCAGCACCAAGGCCTTCAGGAAAAGGAGAAACTAGATTAAGTTTTCAAAGTATTTTCACATAGTTGCCTTCTTTGAGTAATTTTATGGATATATTATAAATTGTTTCAGCTTTTAGCTAAACTACTTGGATAAAAGTTCTGGTAGGTGTTTCATATTATATTCACAGCTTTATGTAGCATGATTTTTCCTGATAATCTTTGTATTTGTTAAATAAGTGTGTTAGTTTGAAAACCCATAGTCTAGACTTTCTGATTAAATGTAGGTAGCTCACTTTTTAAAACTCTGTAATATTTTCCCCCCTTATACAGTTACCACAAAAAGATTATAGAAAATCTAGAAGATACAAATAAGCAAAATGAAGAAAATAAAAAATAAAGTCTAAACTCAGGGATAACCAGGGTTAACATTTTACATGTATTCTTATAGTCATTTCTCTGTGCATTATTTGTATATCTGTAAATTTTTAGTAGGATTATAACCTATCTGCTCTTATCTAACTGATTTTTTTCAGTCAGTGACATGAAAAAGAAGTTTTCAGTATATTAACATTCTCTGTACCTACATTCTCATTGGTTGCATACTAATCTATTTTTTATATTGTATAACTTATTTAACCAATTCATTATTATTTGACACTTGAGTCATTTCCAATAATTTATTATTATAAATAACGATGCAGTAAAAGTCTTCCAGCCAACTCTTATGTAGGTCATTTCCCCCTTAATTATAAATGTATTTGTTGTATATTTTCAGGTACAGACATGAAATTGCACATGATGGGCAGAGGATTTACATCTTGGGAGGTGGTACTTCTTGGACAGCTTATTCCTTAAACAAGGTACATTAAAAAGGAGAGACAGAGGAAGAGGGCCAGAGGAAAGGCACTGTTACACTGAGCAGAATGAGTAACAGTTCTGTTATGGTAGACATTTTAATTTTCAAGCAGGTTCTTTATGAAGACCTATTCTATGTTGGATGCTCTTTATAATATAGGGTTGAACTCTGTGCCCCTAATGTGCTTTCCCGTTGACAGTTGTATAACCACACACTGAAAATCCTTTATTAGACTTATCCCTTTGTGCTCGATGAGAAAAGATATTAAAAGAAAGATACAGTTGCTCAAATGGGGCAACTAATTAGAATTGGAACCAGGATTCTCAGAATGTCACATTGCTCTCATTGTCAGTGCTCTGTATCTAAAAAGAACAGGCATGTTTAGGACGACACATCACTAACCTTAGAAAGCTGAGCTCTGAAGGGCTTCTGTTCATCCATCCCTGTGGCATTTCTAAATCCACATGTCCCAGAGGAAGTCTGTAGGCCTCAGAGCTCCTGGTCTGCTTTGAAATCTTAATGGTCCTTTCCAAGTTTTGTCAAAACTTCATTCTCATATTTACTTAAAAACAGTTGCTTTTTTCTGTTATACAAATGATATATGTTTATCACAGAATATGTGGAAGCAGCAGAATTCCAACTTTTTCCCTCATTTTTTTCTATGACTTAAAAATAATAAAATTATGTATGTGCTTAATATTCAACTGCTTCATTTAATGTTTTGCTTTATATTAGAATTAGGAACGATCAGAGGATAGCAAAGGAAAAGAAGCATTTTCAACCAGGAATATGTTTGTACAGGCTGTTGTGAAAATCCAGTTTTCGGGCTAACTAAAGTTATTTGTGTGTCTTCTATTTTCTGTCTCCAAGATTCATGCATACAACCTTGAAACGAATGCATGGGAGGAAATTGCAACAAAACCCCATGAAAAAATAGGTAAATTTAAAATATTGATTCATTTATCTTTAATAAATGTACTTTACAGTTGGTTCTGAAAGTGAAAAAGTGATTTTATTGCATTATATGACAAGAAAAATATCTGTTGAACTGGCATTAGAGATTACTTATGGGACTTCCCTGGAGGTTCAGTGGTTAAGACTCGTGTTTTCACTGCAGGGGACAACGAGTTTGATCCCTGGTTGGGGAACTAGGAAAAAGAAAGAGAGAAATTACTTGTATTCCTTAGCCCAATTATTCTTCCTCAGCAGCTGAGCAAAGACTTTTAATGGGGATTGCTGAATTCTGTGGCAGAGGGACGTCTGGGTAGGATAAGAAGTAGGCACTTATGTACCTGTCTCTTTGTGGGTAAAAGGGCTTGGGAGATCCACTAATAACCCTTGCCCACTGCCACCTCACTTTATTTTGCTGACATCTTAACATTATATGATTGTGATGGAACTTCTGATGGCTTTATTTGAGTGTGAAATAAGGGAGGGTTGGAAGGACTAGTCAGTGTTTGCTTAATGCAACAAGGGATTGTTTTAAATAACTTATTCATAGTTTGTCTTTTGCTGTATCTTATGAATAATGGAATTTCCATGTTTATGTGTTTGGCAGGTTTTCCTGCAGCCCGGAGATGTCACAGTTGTGTTCAAATAAAAAATGGTAAGGATTTCAAATAGCATGCTGGTTCCATTTTTGTAATTGTATATTCTGAGAATATCTTATTTCTTAATGATAACCCTAAAAGAGTCATAGCATACCTTTGGGGAGAGTCTATTTCTTGTAGTTTATACTTAAAGGGAAATCCATAAAGTTATGCTTCTCTCAGGAATTTTCATAAAGTAAACTAATGTGCTTGGGTTCCTTCTTATCAGAGAACTCAAAAATAAGCGATAAGTAAGCTTTTACTATACCACCTAATCTTTCAGCACTGTACCTTAACAGATGTCTGTGGTTATTATGGGTAACACTAATAATCCTGACATACAATAGAGACCTTGGTAGACATTGTATTAACATTGTAATAACTCCTTCAGAGTGTTATTTCATAAAGTTTATTCTGTTCTCTGTCTGATGCCAAATAGAACTCTTAGCTCATTCTTTGGCCATATTACAACACAGGCATTGTATGGCTTCAGAAAGCAGCTGCAGCTACTTTATCTAAGTGTGATAAATGACTCCTCTTTGGACAACCTTCCTGTCTTTTAATTTACAGTTTATTTTATAGTTGGATATACTGCCTTAAAGTTTTGGAGAGGAAGAAGGTGTGTATAAACGAGTTTGATAGCCTATATCCTTTTAGCAGCTTAGTTCAGATTTTACTAGGATTATGCTGCCATCTCTAGTACAGAGGTGCTTTTTATTATGCTTTGCTCTTTGGGTAAGATTTATAGATAGTGGCATTGTTCAGCCTTGCCTCTCTAAAAATGGAACCATACTTTTTTTTGAATCCTAGCCAAAAATGTTTCTAGTGTATTTTATAGTTTAATTAGGTATTAGCTTAAACTTGATCTAGACCTGAGTTAAGACAAGGGTTCATTTGGTTCTTTGAATCCAGGCACCATATAAGCTGAACTCAGCTGTAGTTCTGAGCATTTAGTTTAAAGTTTCACATAGCCTTTGTTACATGTTGTATACTTGGTTATAACTGACTTTACAAAAACAAACAGAACAATGACAGCAATTTGAAAAAAAAAAAAAACCAACAATTTTGATTCTGGAAAGGTTTTTTCCTGACATTAATAACTAGCACAGATCAACTTGGGTTTCAGACTGTTCTCTTTGGGCTGAAGAAAGCTTGGAAAAACCTTTGTGCCCCCAAACTGAACATTGCAGGCTAATTGTCTACATAGAGAATGTTTGTCTCTATGGGCAGATAAATGTCTATCCTTAATAGGGACATTATTTAAAAGAAGGGTTAGCAAACTAGTGGCCTGCAGTTGTGTTTTGTTTGGCTCATGTGTATATTATAGTTTTTGAATTAGTGGTCAATACTTAAAAATCAAAAAGTTTCATTTTAAAAAAAAATCTGGATTTCCAACTTCTTTTACAAACTTGGAAGGTCTGGCCATTGCTGACCTTATGTCCTGTGTAGCTCCATCAGCTGGAGCTGCATCACCATCTTCCCCGTTAGAGCACGTGCACTCCTATCTTATCTATTTTCCCTGAATCTTCTTGCTGATTCACTTCCTATGCCTGGCACTTAAAAGTGTTTGAATTTAAGAACCTGGACATGAAGCCTCCTCAGAGGCTTGTATCCTTATCCCTAGAGAAAATCCGAACACCGAGTTCAGACTTTGGTTAGGGACAAGGCAGCAGTGTGAGCAGCCCGCCAGCTGAAGTCCCCTGTGGTGTGGGCACTGGACTGGCCCCATGTCAGCTAGCCATGAGCGCCACGACAGGACATGCTGGCACCGTGGCGCTTTCCCTTTGCATGATTTTGGTTTTCTCTTCCACTGATAGATGTGTTTATTTGCGGGGGCTATAATGGAGAAGTGATCCTAGGAGATATCTGGAAGCTGAATCTGCAGACTTTTCAATGGGTTAAGCTCCCAGCTACCATGCCAGAGCCAGTTTATTTTCACTGTGCAGCTGTTACACCAGTAAGTTTTTGTTTTCTTATCTTCTTTATGTAGTTGCAGATGATAAGGAAATACTTTTAGGGATAGAGCAAGAAAAAAAGATGACTGATATTAGCAAAGCTTGGATTAAGAATGTGTTTTTAAAACCTTTCTTCCAAAGCTAGCTCTTCCTCTGAGAAAAAGGGAGAAAATCCATCATGTACAAGCTTAAAAGAGCCGCATAAAATGTAAAAGAAATGCTGCATGTAGTATTCAGGCCTTGACGGTGATATCAAAGATGTTTCCTGGGAGGGCAGAATAATTTTACCCCCAAAATTCTGTGTTATGGAAGATTCTGCTAGCTTCTTGAATGCTAAGAGCTTTATCTTAATCTCTGTATTCTTATCTTTGGCACAATGGGTACTTAATATGATCTTAATTTAACGATGTCAAAGTTGTTGAAGTAAAAGTAATCTCTAGTTTTTCCCTTAGTAACTCATTCATTATATAAATGTTTCTTGATCTCTGCACTATGTTAGGATCAGTGAGAAGTTTTTGATTTCACTTCATTCAGTTCAGCCTACTATGAATTTTTTTTGCTGAATGTTCAGCTTAAGTATCTGTTATTTATCCTCTTTTGACTGCCATTTCTTCATAGGCTGGTTGCATGTACATTCATGGAGGAGTGGTGAACATCCACGAAAATAAACGGACTGGGTCATTGTTTAAGATCTGGCTGGTGGTTCCTAGCCTGCTGGAACTGGCGTGGGAGAAGCTGCTTGCGGCCTTCCCCAACCTAGCAAACCTCTCCCGAACACAGCTTCTGCACCTTGGACTCACACAGGGACTCATCGAGCGCTTGAAATGAGGATTACTGGACTGTTCATTGATACTGGAAATGTTAATTTAAAGAGACTCCTTTATTTATGGGCAGTGTAGAATGTGCTACAGAGAGAATTGGTTACCCTGATCAAGGCCTTATTCAGAAAATACATCAGATGCCTTTCTGTAAATTGTTTTAAGTTTATGGAATCTCACTTTCCCTTGTGCTTTTTTCTTTGCTTCTTTCCTTTCTGCCCCAGTACACACACATATTCACATACTCCCTCTTCCCTGATGGAAGTTGAGGGAGAGTCTGAAGGTTACCTTCATAACATTATGAATCAAGATAAGATAAAGAAAATGTTAAAGGAATTTTCACCATATGACCATGTTAGGCATTGCTCTATAAATTAAAGCAACATCATCAGTAAAAACAAAAATTTAAAAAAAGTAAATCCAGCAACGACAAGAAATAGCACTGGGGATAGAACAAGAAGGCTAACTTTGAGAATCCTGCAGATTATAGGGAAAGCTCAGTGTTTAACTTGCTGTTTTCAAAGGTATATCTAATTGAGTCGCTGGATGTAATGGCAGCAGCGGCTGGTATCTTGCGGCCTAGATACCCAAACCTGCCCTTGAACTTAAGAGGAAAGTTGAGCAGCTCAGCGACTCTCAATCAATGATTTCTGTTCTCATCCTTCTGGTGCCAGCAGTGGTTAGAGTTGACGTGTCTAAAGACTTCATCGTGTGTGGTGGTTGTGCTGTTTGTTGTTGCTCTTAGAAATTATGGCACGAGAACATTTCAAATCAAGAAACTTAGGGTGATCAAAGTTCTTCATTCTGGGCAGTTTTTAAATTCTCCTATGCCTGTTAATGGTTTCAAGTATCTTTTTGACTCCATCATGGGGAACTGCAGACCCTAAAATGTGTGGCATTCATACCGTGGGACATAAGGTTCGCGAGAGGCCAGAGAAGAGCAGGGCAGGAAGGGCTTCTGCTCTTGGGCTATGAGCTTTGACTGTCATACTGGCCATTTCCTTTTAGAATGTTTCTTTTCTCACTCTGGGCCATACACCTACCATATTCTCAGGCAGTGGGTTTTATCTCTAGGAAGCCAATTGGCCCTTGATTTTTCTCTTAGCTTTTTGCCTCGTTTTCTGTCTGCTTTAATGTGCATGGTGCTGTAATTGCCTAGTAATTGGATAACAGGTCTTGGGGGAAAGCCACAGGTCATTCTTCCTGAAGAACTAAGTATCATTTTAAAAACTAGCATGCAGAAGAAAAGAAGCTGAGAATCATTCACTTCTTTGGTGTGAAGTTTTAGTTCTGGTTTGTTTTATATTGTATTTTAATTTTAAAACAGAAATGACTTAAAATTTCACTTGCTTTGCCATCAGTGACCTACTGAGATGCGAGCAGTTGGAGGTCCTTATGTGTATGAAAGGTGCTAAAGGTGTGCAGGAGGGCACAGTGCTGATGATCCCGTTGGTTACATCACAACAGGAGACTCAAGACAGGAGACTGGGGACATATTTTTCCTTTAAGTGCCTCTTTTTCACTTAGCTTTTAAGATTATTCATGTTTTTCCTTCATCTCAGAAGGGAATCTCTTAGGCTCATGTGTGGATTTAAAATCACCTTTGAGTTGTAGCTGAAAAGTTACTATCTAGTGTTTGGTTCTGAGAAAGAGAAAAATGTGGCCTCTGGACTTGGACTCCTAACATCCTGGCCTTATTATAATCTCCCAACCATGTGGGATTGAGTTCATGGAGCCTGTGTTCTGAAGGGTCTTACCATCTTTCATCTGTGAGTTTGGGTCCTTTGCGGGGGTGAGGGGGTAGGGGAGACGAGGAAAGGAGCAATTCTTCTGGAAGCCTCACCCCCACATTGCCATGACCAGTCTGGCCTTTTAACCTCTTACCACCCACTGCTAGGCTTGTTCCTGTGAGGAGCTCTCTCCAGACCAAGTCAGTCTGAGCAGCTCTATTAGTTCAAAACAAAGCTTCACTGAAAGACTCCAGTCTAGTCTCTGGATGTTTTGGGGGGTGGGGGTGGGGGAACAATTCATAATTAAGTCACACTACTCAGGGTGGCAGAAGGATCTTTGTCATGGATTCATAGGGACCAAAGACTGAATGCGCAGCCTCTGTGCTTATCCTTCCATAGTTTTGGGATATAAGCAGGTCTCTACTTCTGTGACACCTGAGAGCTAAAAGAGAGACTGGTTCAATCCACACTTGCTAGCCTCCTTTTTAAAGCCTTCGGAAGGCAGTCTTCTTTGACGTGGACTTTGGAGGCCTGACATCTAAGACCTTGTGTGTGACATTTTCATAAAAGTACATACCCTTGGTCTAAAGTGTCGTCTTTTAATATAACACTAGTGAAAATGATGTAGTATGATCAGCTCCGAGTGCTATAGAACCACACAGGTGCACATGTTCTGGATGCCAAATGAGACTGTGTGTATAATCACTTAAATGTAGATGACTAGAGTTTTATATAGGGGGTCACCAGGCATTTAGTATATCCATAACCAGCACTCTGAATGCCTGACACTGTTACTTGATTTAGAAAAGTTTATGCCTGCTGCTTTTCTGCCTCTTTGAGGTACTCCCAGCCATCTTACTGCAGTCCTATAAGTTTAAGTGCAATACATAGAAACACATATGGATATATACAGATTATATATAAGGTGTGACTGTAAAGCAGGTAGACTACTTTTTTGTATCTGTCTTGGGGAAGCCAGCTCACTACTTTAGAGTTAAAATTATACCAGAAATTTGAGATGTGATTGGCTGACTTAGGGCAACTCTTGGTAAACCTGGATTTCAAGTCCAGTGTCTCCTTACTGCAACTGTTAGAGATTTATTGTTTCTTGGGCTTATTACCACTGAGACTTTTCCCCAGTCATCTTTGTACTCAATCTCATGTTTGCATATCTTCTTACATTTCTTTGCCCAGCAACAAGGAAGTCTACCTATAAGAAGTTTTTTAAATGGAGAATTAAAACCTAATATTTAATACTATCAGTTCTCCCATGTATATACTAATTTATCTGTGAATGTAATACTTTATTACATGAAGAAAATGTTGACTTTCTTCATGTAATAAAGTATTTTCCATATTCTGGAAAATCTATAAATCAATATAGAATAGATTGAAATTTTAACTGTTTTCAGGGGTCAAACTGAAACCCTTTTCTACTGGCAGAATCTTCTTTTTTCAGGGCCTTGGAACATGATATAAAAATTTGCCCTAAATTATTCATGTCCAATACATAGCTAATTTTAAAATATAATAATAAACATTAACATTTCTAAACAAAAGGTATATTAACAGTGACCTTTGGTTACCCAGAGTAACCAGATTAAAGCACAGATAATTGAAATCCATAGATAATCAGTGTTTCAACTTTCCTATCAAAAAATTGATTCATTTATAGTTCTTCCTTCTCCCTACCCTTTTCCCACAAGTACCTCATTTTCAGTGGAGTGGGGCTAATGCGTAGCTAGAAATGGAAAAGCAGGAATCCGGGAGGGGCTAGAAACCAGCGAACATAAAAGCAGCTCAATTAGCTGTAATTGGTCAACAAGATGACAGCTGTTAATGCTGAGTTTAGATATCACTCTTTGCTCTTCTGCTTTGGCATAGTCTCCTGCCCTGAGTTCTAGGCTGTCTCTCCTGTGACCACCAAAGAACTCTTAGCACATATAAGAAGAAAGAGCTGTGTATGATGCACAAGAAATCCCATCATTTGAATACATTTCTTTGGCTCTCTTTGCAAACACTTGCTTTCCCACTGTTCTTGAAGGAACCTTCATTTTCCTTAGGAGATACCTTTTCCAGTCATACTGCTTGGCTTGTAGGAAAGGTTAAATTATCCTTTAAGACTATGTTGGTCTTAATTCTCTAAAACCAGTTTGTTTTTATGTGTCTTACAGATGTTTAGAAGGTGGTATAGGTTATTGAATTGTCTACCTGCCAGCCCTCTGATGTAGCACAATAAGCCATTTTCCTTCTTCTTCATTGTTCTAGCATTGAGCTCCAGGATGGATGAGGGTTTATGGTCCTAAGATCATAAGCTTCCAAAACCAGTCACCATTGGTTTTAATTGCTTAAGTTCCCCAAATGTCGTGGGGCTCCAGGGCCTTGGCAGGGCCTGAGGTAGGTTTGGTAGAGTTCCATGTCCTCTGTGCGTCGCGACCAGGTCATGCCCAGCAGTGGTGTTTCCCTTCTAAGGTCATTAGATTTGGTAGAAAATGACTTCTTCCCTCATCTGGTGTTAAGAAAAAAAGTTTTGTGTTGTGCTTCAAAAAGTGGTACCATCTTTTTAGTATAATTTTAATGTTTTTATCTTTTTTTCTTCTTCACTTTTTATAAGTTTTGAAAAGGACCTGCTTAGTCACTGTACAGGGTGAGTCAGAGCTCAGTCACCAAGCTGTAGTAATTACTATTTTACTAGTTGCACATTTAGAATACAAAGGAGGCATCAGAAACACACTGACTTTCTCTAAAGCCACTTTCTTGTACACAGAGTCTGAGCAGGGACAGCGCCAGGCATCTCCCTCTAAGGGCACCTGCCAGTGAGGCTTTCAGTGGAAGGACGTGGGCACGAAAGGGAACCCTCACGCAGTCTCTGAGGATGAGCCTGGGCTTGGCTCTTGGTACAGGGTATGCTTAGGCCACACACGATGCTTGCCTTACTTTAAAGCTATTTGCCACAGTCCTGTTAAATAGTGTGGAAGTCCTTTTGCAGTCTGGTGTGCATGCCATATGATCAGGACAGCTTTTCCACCTTACCTGGTTTCCTACAAGCAGGTAGGAAATATAGTGAAGTTACCCTAAAATGTCCAATCTGTATTTATGTATCTTGTCAGTGTTTTGCTGTTGGTTTTCTAAAACAATCTGATCAATAAATCTTACCCAGATCTATTTGGTTCAAGGCCACCTTGATTGTCTGATGGTAATGTGAGCTCACCTGTATGACCTAAGCATCAGTCCCACCTGCCGCCACCACATCCTTTATCACCCACTGCTACTGCTACTG